CATCCTCTTCACGGCCACGACATCCGGACAGCCCAGGCGCGCCATGATCCCCGTGCCCACCGCCTGCGCCGCATAGACCGATGCCTGGGTCCCGGTGCCCAGCTGCTCATCCAGCGGCCGGAAGTCCGTGTCGACACCGACCAGGATGGCCCCGGGCAGGGCCAGCTCCACGATGGTGTTCAGCATGGTGGCATCCTCATCGTGAGGGGCCTTGCCCAGGGCACCGCCCCTCTGGCGGCGCCGGCGGATGAGACACAGCACCACCAAGATGAGGAGGATCAACAACAGGAGCAGCCCCAATGCAAGGCCGACAGCCAGGCCGACGCGCGAGGACCCCGGCCCGGAGGGCGACACGCAACCATCAACACCGGCCCCGGCACAGGAGCCGGCGCAGCTCGGGTGACAGGGCACACACCCATGCGGCCAGCCTTCCACATCGGCATAGTGACCAGTCGGGCAGCCATCGACGCAGGTGTTCCCCCCGAGCAGCAGCAGCCCCGGACTGCATGCCTTGCAGGAGATGATCTCCGGGCAGTCGGCCAAATGACCGCCAAGCGACCGACAGCCGGGCTGGCCGACACCGGCCTCGCACTGGTCACACCCGGCAAAGCACTTGAGGCACGCGCCCTCCACCGGGGCTTCGGCGGCCGGGCAAGCCGACACGCAGGTTCCCTCCTCCGGGCGCAGGAGCCCCGAAGCGCAGCTCGTGCAGCGGTTGGCCACTCCGATGCACGTGTGGCAGGGAGCGTCGCAGGGCTGGCAGGTGTCGGCCCCCGGCCGCAGGAACTCCCCGATCGGACACTGCTCCCGGCATTGGCCGGAGGCCAGGACAAAGCCCTCCTCGCACGACGTACAGACGCCCGTGCAGGCCCCATCGGCCGACATGCATTCCACGCAGTGGGCCGGGCATGCCAGGCATTGGCCCGAGTCCGGGCATGCACGCCAGCCAACCGGGCAGGTCGACACGCAGGCCCCCGTGGGACCGACCAAGGCCGACCCCTTGCATCTTGTACAGGTCCTGCCATCGGCGCACATGGCACAGGCCGCGTGGCACTCGAGACAAATGCCCCCTTCGACGAAGAAGCCATCCGCACAGCCGGCAATGCAAGACCCAGACAGGAGGACCCGGTTCCCGGGGCAGGTGCTGCACTCGCTCGGCCCCGGCTCCACGCAGGAGGCACATGCGTCGCTGCACGGCAGGCATGCCTGGCCCTGCTGGAAGGTGCCGACCGGGCAGGCGTCGAGGCAGGCACCATCGACCAGCAACGGGGCCCCGGGTCTGCAGCTCAGGCATTGGCTCGGCCCATGGCCAAAGCAGCTGGCGCAGGTGCCATGGCAGGTGATGCACACATTCCCCAGCGTCAGACTGCCGCCCGGGCAGGAGGACACACACTCCGGGCTGGCCAGCAGCCACCCGCGCTCGCACTGAGCACAGGACGCCTCCGAGGCCGGGCAGCTGGCACAATGGGACCCACACGGCGAGCACCCCGACGCCGTGGTGTGGTAGCCCGCCGGGCAGGCCGGCACACACCGCGTGGGAGACGCCCCGGTCGGCAGGGCCAGCAGCTC